CTTTGATAGTTCAACCATTTTTAATAACCAAGCATTTATTGTAGGAAGCTCTTCAGATTTCCATTTGCTCGCTATCAAAAGCCTAGCCGCCGTTACCATGTAAAGCAATATTTTCCATACTCTTTCCTGATCTGTCTTATTAATTGTTTCCAACATATTTAGTAGGTATATGCCCGGAAGAGCGTTCAAATTCAATGTTTAGGATTGCACAAATTGTTACATGTAGGCTTTCCCAAAACTTTATTTTTTTTTGGGCAAGTCCACCACATGTGATACCAGGATCCATATTCTTTATGACATTTCCAGCATCCAGCATTATTATTTTTGTATATTTTTGCCAGTCTAGCCAGGGTTAGATGCCATCTGTTTTCTATTTTATAGTAATTTTCTCTCATTGTTTGGTTTTTTGTAAATCTATAAGTTGTTATTCTTTCATTATTCCATTTTTCTAATGTAATCTCTTTACCAGTATTCTTAGCCCATCTTATCATATGTTCCTTTACCGTTTCATCTTCTAATTTTCTTCCTAACAAGGATTTATACAGACTTGCAATTTTTTTTATTTATCTGATAATATAATATTATCCATTTCATTTTTAACCAAATAAATCCCTTGTTGTTTTATGTCTTTTTTAGTTACTTCTTGCAATTGGTAATACTGAAACTAAGTAATCTCTGGGTCAAGCGTTTCTAAGCGTTTAAACGTTTCTAACTTCTTCAGTTCTATATTTCCTGTTCTCTGATCTTGTCTAACTATTTCTTCATATTTTAGTCATCTATTTGTTGTCTTGAACTTACTCATAAGAGCTTCTTGCGGGGACATCCACCCTGGAATGCCCCTGTAAAATCTTGTTTTTGTTTTGTTCCATATTCTTATTAGTGCCCTTCTAATTATGTGATGGGTGAATCCTTGATGTATCATTTGTTTGTCATGCCACTCCTTCCCCCACCCCCACTTTTGCAAGAGTCCTATGCCCCTAACCCTCGCATATGTGAAGGGGTGACTGTAATGTAATTGGCAATGTTCTACCCCCAAAATGTTCTTAGTAAATCTAGAACACATGAGGATATCTGTTTCCAAATTCCATGTAGATAGTGCAAATAATTCTCTTTTTCCATTGCCTATGACATTCATGAGGTCACCATAAGTCTTCATATATTAGGGGTTTTTTGCCGCTTCATTGTTGTGAGCAGTAGGCACCATAAGTCAACATATGGAATGAGTGAGAGAGAGCATGAGTAAAAGCATTCCAGACTTAAATCATTATGTATTTTGTAATTGGATTCATTAAGCATAAAGATAACTTTATGCACACTATATTTGCCACCAAATTCTACTTAAAGTGAAATTCTGACCAATAGCTGGGGCAACAACTGGACAGATCCCACTTTAGATAGAGGAAGGGGAGGCGTTATACTTTATTTATTTATGTGCGCATTTATTTCAGTTGTATGCCACCTTTCTTCCTGGAGGGACCCAGGGACAAAACATTTAAAAAATTCAGTAAAATTCAAAACAATTAAAATCATTTACACACAATAAAATCATATAAAAATATACAAAAGTTAAAAACATAGCTAAAACCTACCTGCCCATAAAAACCACCCTGATCTGAATTATATACCAAATGCCTGCCTGCATAAAAACATTTTTACTTGCCATTGAAATGCAAGCAGGGAGGGAGCCAGCCTAGCCTCCTGTGGAAGGGAGTTCCAGAGGGTGTTCTATGTTTTAGTGTTGACCTCAGTGTCTAGATTTTACTACACAGGATGTATGTTAACTTGTATGTAATATGCCAAGCCCCAAGGAGGCAACTATATGTGTGCCAGGTGCATGCAGGGTTACCTTGTGCATACTAACAGTATTATAGTGCTCTAAATACACCATTCCTAAAGCATTCATGGTATGTGCAAAAACCTGCACTCTGAGTATTCTCTGCTGTGCTCTTTCTCATCTTGGATG